TATACACAAGCTCGATATAATCATAAACAAAAATATTTTTTACTTACCTAAATTGTTACAGTTCAAGCTCGACTCATTTATTTAAAAATAAAATCCATTCTTCTTGTTGTACAATTTAGCAGCTACTAAGTGTTTAGTGGAAGAATATGTGTCCATTATATCAAGACTTATACAGTCACACACTTCCTTAGCTTCTGCCATGAGTGTCTTGGAAGGAGTCTCACAGTACAGTGGACCCCCGGTTTACGATATTATTTCATTCCAAAAGTATGTTCAGGTGCCAGTACTGACCGAATTTGTTCCCATAAGGAATATTGTGAAGTAGATTAGTCCATTTCAGACCCCCAAACATACACATACAAACGCACTTACATAAATACACTTACATAATTGGTCGCATTGGGAGGTGATCGTAAACCGGGGGTCCACTGTACTTCCAGTTTCTTATTTCTAAAATACGTAGCAGTTTTGATATCTGTCACATAAAAGAGCTGAAAAAAACTATGAATTAAATAAAATAGCTGGAAGCATGATAATCATCTAATTTTACATTTTATCACATTCCAGAATGTGGTACATGGTTTTTAAGCACAACACGCATTGCTGAGTCAAAAAGAAACACTACCTCACGCTTCCACAAGTGTCAGCGCCGTGTCAGCAACAGTGCTCTCTCTTCCAAGCGTGCAGCGTCTTCTCTCAGACATGTGCGCATGTGCACAACAACCAAACACTGAGTCGCTGGAACTGTGAAGCGCACAGTTCCATACAAGGATTTTTTAAATTTTTTCATGTACTAGGGGTTGACTACTGAAACTGAGCTTTATGTAATGTAAATGTATAAAGAAAGAATTAAAGAAAAAAAACACTCATTATATCAAATGTTATCGATAATATTAAGTGAAAATAGGAGATGCTGCAGTTCCATAGTGCCTATACACGAGCCACCACTTGGATCCCCCACCTGACTTTCTAATGCAGTCACTGCACCCCACCCGGTTTGTTTACATTCTCTGTGAGCACCGCGTCTCTCCATTATGTCTGGAAACTCTCCGAAATTTCAAGTGTTTGAAAGTTATTTCATGTTTTATATGAACTCTGATTATAATACTTATGTGTACCTGAACCTAAATAAACTTACACACTGTGCTGGCTTGCAGGTACACATTAAAATCACCAAGTGTGTTATTAGTCTCGGGGACACCATATTAATAATGATAATAATAATATGCAATAATAACTACTCTGAGGTGCATTGTCATATATTATGTTTATATAAACATTTTCATTAATTCATCTATGATATTATATAATAAACATGCTATGTAACATAAAAATATGATAAATACACCCCACAGTAGAATAAATTAGCATTAATATGAGATGTTACGTGTATGAACTAAAACCAGATACATTCGTCTGCTTGTTTACATAACACAGTGTCTCTCTCCTCTCTCATTCACTCATTCTCTCTCTCTTGTTTATTTGTTTTACCTTCTTTACTCACCTCTCACCGTACATTAACCCGTAAACGGTCCAAGCAGACCTACGTTCGCATGTGTAGCGCTACAAAAGTAGATCAAAGTTTATTTACACATTTTCAAATGTAAAAAACAAAAAGAAGATCTACTTTTTTACATACTTTCAAATGTTGAAAAAACGTATATATACGTTTGGACTGTCTACGGGTTAAGACTACAAATATTTTAAGGTAAGGAATGAGTGTACTGTATATGCATTTTATCGCTTTGGGGCACTTTAACCCTTTGACTGTCGCAACCCCCAATCCTGAGGTGTCTCCTGGTGTCGCAAAATTTAAAAAAAAAAAATTATTTTTTCTTATGAAATGATAGAGAATCTTTTCCCGATTGTAATGACACCAAAAAAACGAAATTTGATGGAAAACTGACGGAATTATGCTCTCGCGAAGTTAGCGACCTCGGCACTGTTTACAAATCGGCGATTTCGCCCACTTTGAGCCCTATTTTCGGCTAATTCCATTGTACCAGTCGCCCAAACTCATAGATATTTCTTTAGAACTCCATTTTTTCTATCGATTGAGTACAAGAAACTGCCCATTTACCGATTTCAACTACCTAGTAATGTGGTCAGAAATTTGCAATTTGGCCAATTTCATGAACAAAAAAATATGACAATTTCAAAATAAGGTCCAGAATGAACAATGCAGACATTCCTGGCTCTAAAATAACATTTTCTTTGTTCATCAGTCATGTCTCCAGGCCCCTCTGATATTACTCTTGCTTTCTATTTTGAATTTTTATTCAAACAAAAAATAGAAGACTTACTATTATGCAGACTACTGCAATACTGTAACAATTGTATAAATAACATCAACCCATTCACGACTGCATATTAGAATGGCTAGTTGGACATTTATTGGACAAATGGCATCATTTGTTTACTTTGAACATCGGCAAAAATCAAACATTTCCCCTACTTTGAGCTCCATTTCTAGGTTCTTTTTATAGAAAAATCAATCAAAATCACCTCTATTTCTATAATATGTTTTCCATTCTATCAAATGAAACCAAGAAAACGAGAATACAACCATAAATACTATACGAAAATAGACCACAAAGTCGGTCTTTTAATTAAAAAAAACGGTCGGAGTTTTTTTTTTCTCATTATGCACTGCGTGCTCCAGGATTTTTTTTATATGGTGCACACTGACCACACAGACCCATTCTCTCACATGTGGGCCTACCAGCTTTCTCCTGCTTGATTTGAAGCCGCTAGAATTTATGAGTATATATACGTCAAACACGGTACCTCATAAGACGTATATATACACGGCTGCGACAATCAAAGGGTTAAATGTTGCAGTATATTATGTGTGGGTAGTGTGGCCAGGCTGGCCACACTACCCACACATCTGACGTCTTACAATAAATATTACTCACCTTTCACCCTACTTTAAGATTACAAATATTTTAAGGTAAATAATGAATGCACTGTGTGTGTATTTTACTTTTTATTGTTTTTAAATTCTAGTTCTATTGCTATCTTAATATGCTAATGTAAACTTGTTATCTAGCATTTATATGTATGTATTTATAAGTGGAAAAAAGTGGCATTATGCTTTCTGGTGGCAGCCTGGAACCTAACCTGCTGTATAAGTGGGTCCTTACTGTAATGATCTACTGCATTTATTATACAGTACACTACTGTACTGTAGTACTGCGGGTTGCAATACTTATATACTTTACATCTGGTTGTTTTCTGAACCAGTTGTCCAACTACTCTAATTCAGAAGACAACTGGATGATCATGAAAAATTAATTTCATAATTTGGATATTTTCGACAAAACTTGACGTTCTAGATTTATTTGTCTTGAAGAAAAAAATGATTATATTTTTATGGATTCTGCTGAAAAAGAAAGCTTTGGCTCATCTGGTTTGAAGTATTCATTACGGGAGAGTGAATTTTTTGTCTCAAAAATAAGTACATACAGTTGCCGGGATGCGACTGTACATCTCGGAGTGTGTTCCTGATCGTGATCCTGTGACCAGATGTCTCCCATAAGCAACCTATGTTCAAGCTCTATATACTTCTTGAAATAACTCTTTAATCTTAAACAATTAACAGCCCCATATTTCTACGTCATATAGAGCCCATTCCCTATTATCAATAACATGTTATAGTAAAGTGTTAATCTTTAAAGTATAACAGGAATACAATTAAAATATTAATGTGTTAAATTTATGACAACACAGTACAGTGGACCCCCGGTTTATGATTTTATTTCATTCCAGAAGTATGTTCAGGTGCCAGTACTGAACGAATTTGTTCCCATAAGGAATATTGTGAATTAGATTAGTCCATTTCAGACCCCCAAACATATACGTGCAAACGCACTTACATAAATACACGTACATAATTGGTCGCATTGGGAGGTGATCGTAAAGCGGGGGTCCACTGTATTCCTAGTGTTGAATATAATATTCACATATAATCATCATAAGTTCCACTTGTTGAAATCATGATGAGTATGAATCAAAGGGGAGATACAGCAACCAATATAACTCTTATGCTCTAATTAATATTACAATCAAAACTAAGCGCTAAACCCACAAGGGTCAAATAGCTCTTATGTTTCAAAGAAATTCCACAGTACCTTTAAATATAAAACACGTATGTATGGAAATATGGATCAAGATCTTTATTAAAATATCTATGTACAATTTTGAACTACAGCCTCTCCTCGCTTAGCGACGTACTGTACTTGTTTACCAACGCCTCAGACTTACGATGGGTTCTCTGACCAGTATTCATACCTAAATAATGTATACTAGTGCTGATTTCCTCTACTCTGTTTATTTCAATATGCAGTATCCTACTGAATAAACATTTAAAAATATACCAGAAATGTTAGAAATGGTGCAAAGTGACATTAAAACAATATCAAAGATGGCTGACACAAACTTACTACCATTATAGTATGCTCCTCACTTAGCGATGAATTCATTTAACGATGAATTCATTTAACCATGTGGTCTCAGGAACACAACTCTGTTGTTAAGTGTGGAGAAGCTGTAATATTTCTCTCAAGGAGATATTATCTTTGAGTGACGTGAAAGCCATAAATGGAATTACACTTAAATTGATACACACATATTAAGCGTCATATCATGTTTTAAATATTCTTTATCTTGAAACTTGATTTAAAGAATAATGCAAAATATATATTACACACATTAATGACAAAATGTTCCAATGTTGGAGCGTTGAACTGTGAACAAAATAACATTAATGGAGTGACTGAGGGGGAACTGGTTAGCCAGGCTAGTGATGAAGGTGGAAAGTACAGTACCTGCACTGTGAAGGGTCATCTCAACTGTTATGTTGGCAGAACTCTGACCTGACCTTGGTGGGGGATGCCCAATGTCTTAAAAAAAGTCTTACATAGAATTTACTTGAAACAAAGTCTCTAGAATGACACTAAAATTAATACACATAATTAATACTGTATGATACCCTACAGTCTTTATATTAAACTTAACCCTTAAACTGTCCAAATGTAGATCTACGTTCACTTGCGTAGCGCTCCGTATGTAGATCTTCGTTCACTTGCACAGTGCTCCAAACGTAAATCTACGTTCACTCGCATAGCGCTCCAAATGTAGATCTACATTTTTTTACATTTGATTTCTTGTAAAATGAAACAGATTTATGTTCAGAGTGCTACGCGAGTGAACATAGATCTAAGTTTAAGGGTTAATATACGCATTAGTACAGTAATTATAATGTTCTATATAGTCTATACTGCAAATACAACTCAGGAAAATTTTGCAAGGACAACAAAACAACCTCACAAATTTGAGTATATTTTGTAGCAGAAATTATTATCATTCAATGGAAAAAAACTATGACACAATGAACACAAATTCAGCCATTCCACTTACTGTATATAACTACACTAAGGAAAGATATTCTTTCCTGCACATGAATATTTGCATGAACTGCGAATTCAGATTTGTTTAAATGATGTACCTTAACCCGTAAATGGTCCAAACGTATATATACGTTTTTTCAACACTTGAAAGTATGTAAAAAAGTAGATCTTCTTTTTGTTTTTTTACATTTGAAAATGTGTAAAAAAACTTTGATCTACTTTTTTTTTTTTATATTTGAAAATATGTAAAAAAAACGTAGATCTACTTTTGTAACAGTACACATGTGAACGTAGATCTGCTTGGACCGTTTACAGGTTAAGTCATCCTTGACGATGCTATGATTTATCGCCAGAATGAATTCTCATATGATGTATTAAAGTAGATTTTGTGGAAAAATCTTTTAGGCACTCTGAACAATGATATGGCTTCTCTCCAGTGTGAGTCTTCATGTGATTTATTAAATGAACTTTTTGGAAAAAGTCTTTCGAACACAATATACAATGATATGATTTTTCTCCAGTATGAATTTTCATATGTTTAGCTAAATAGGAATTTAAGGAAAAGTCTTTTAGACACACTGAACACTGATATGGTTTCTCTCCAGTGTGAGCAGCCATATGTTGTACTAGACTAGATTTCTGGGAAAACTCATTTAGACACACTGAACACCGATATGGTTTTTCTCTAGTATGAATTCTCATATGTTTTATTAAGCCATATTTTTGAGAGAAGCCTTTTAGACACTCTGAACATTTGTATGGTTTCTCCCCAGTATGAGTCTTCATATGTCTTAGTAAATTAGAATATTGAGAAAAGCCTTGTTGACATTCTGAGCACTGATAAGGTTTCTCTCCAGTATGACTTCTCATGTGTTTATTAAATCAGGTTTGAGAGAGAAGTCTTTCAGGCATTCAGAACAATGATAGGGTTTCTCCCAGTGTGAATTCTAATGTGCTTTATTAAATCAGATTTTTGAGAAAATCTTTTAAGCACTCTGAACACTGATATGGTTTTTCTCCAGTGTGACTTCTCATGTGACTTGTTAAATCAGATTTTTGAGAGAAAGTCTTTCAAACATTCTGTACACTGATATGGTTTCTCTCCAGTGTGAATGCTCATGTGAATTAATTAAGTGAGCTTTTTGATAAAAGTCTTTAAGACACACTGAAACATGATATGGTTTCTCTCCAGTATGAATTTTCATATGCTTAACTAAATAAGAACTTTGGGAAAACTCTTTTACACACACTGAACACTGATATGATTTGTCTCCAGTGTGAATTTTCATGTGAATTGTTAAGTTGTCTTTTCGAGAAAAGTTTTTTGGCACACTGAACATGATATGGTTTCTCTACAGTTATGATTCTATGTGGGATTCTAGAGGATTTTTGGGAAAATTCCTTCTGACACACTGAACACTCGAGAACTTTTTTGTCTTTATGAAATCTGATCAGAGAGACAGGCAGAGATTTTTGTGAAGAGTGTTTTAGAGACTGTGAATACTGATATAGATTTTCTTCTGGGTCAACTATAATTTGTGTTTCTTGAACACATTCTTTTAATAGTATTTTAGACATAATGAACACTGATTTTAAAATCTTCCATAGTAATTATATAACACTTAACTAGGCAAAATTTTGGCAAATATTTTATACTGACATTCAATATTTCTCTAACATCATATTATAAACTCCGTGGGAAAGTGAAAAAGAATTCTTCTTCCATAAGCCATGACTGTCGTAAGAGGCGACTAAATGCCGGAAGGGTCTAGTAACCTTTCATCTGGATAAATTACTAAATGAAAAAAAGAACAACTTTCTTTTAAGGCCACTCTGCCTCGGTGGGAGGGTCAGTACGTTAAAAAAAATAAGGGAAGGCGGTACACCAGTAAGATACACTGTCTGGTATTAGGAGGAAGTGACTTGAGATATGAAAGGCTACCTCTGGTTCCTCATGTGAAGAGCTGTTCAACACAGCTAAGCACTGACCTTGAAGGTATCTACAATATCTTACATGAACTTAAATGTTTGTTGCTAAAGCTTTTGCAACAGTTTCAAAACAAAGTACGTTGATATAAATTTTATTCATTTAAACTCTCAGGTCCCAAAATACTGAAATATTTCTTCTCTATGGCAGTGTTGGTGATTCCTACACAGTCAGTTATTGCTACAATGGTCTTGCATTATAACAATGACTTATGATGTGGACAAAGAAGGATTTTACCTTAACATGTGTCAGACACATTATGGTACAATGACTGAGCAATATTATGGCAAGATAATGAGACTGATTCAATTTATTATATCTGGGAGCAATAAGGTATGTGACAGTGTGATAGATCAGAGGGATAAAATAAGTGAAATGTGACAGATACGAAATAATTTAGCCTATAAAAATGCAGTAATGTGTTTCTCCGCAGAACCAACCTAACCTGGTGGAGATGGCAGGTGTATTAACAGTGCTGTTACTTACACTGCTACTGTACAATGGTCTCCAGGTGTTAACAGTGCTGTTACTTACACTGCTACTGTACAGTGGTCTCCAGGTGTTAACAGTGCTGTTACTTACACTGCTACTGTACAATGGTCTCCAGGTGTTAACAGTGCTGTTACTTACACTGCTACTGTACAGTGGTCTCCAGGTGTTAACAGTGCTGTTACTTACACTGCTACTGTACAATGGTCTCCAGGTGTTAATATAATAGTACAGTTACTTACACTGCTACTGTACAATGGTCTCCAGGTGTTAATACAATAGTACGGTTACTTACACTGCTACTGTACAATGGTCTCCAGGTGTTAATACAACAGTACAGTTACTTACACTGCTATTGTACAATGGTCTCCAGGTGTTAATACAATAGTACAGTTACTTACACTGCTACTGTACAATGGTCTCCTACATAATATTCCTATGATAAAATCACCTAGACATTTATTTTCACAAGACAATAGCAAAAAAAGTCCCTTCCCAGGAATACCAATTATACATTCAACATTTGCACTACTCATGCACATGACATATTTAGTCTCTACTAAGAGTTTAAAGGTAGTTCAACACATTTTCTCTAAGGTGAGAGATTAACCTTAGCACAGTTTATGTTAATGCCAATAAACGTGTAATAATTTTTATGAATTTTTTTTATCACAGAGGTGTTAATGGTGTACATAAAATCTGAATGATGAGAATAAGTGTCAACACAAGATTTTAGGAATGGTGTACTAGGTATACTCCAGGTATACTATAAATGTGACATTTCTATCACTGTGGGTACACAGTGATGTCACTGTATATATAACTGTTTATGTCACTTGTATTAAGATAAAGATTTTATTTTTTTGTAAATGTTACTTTGTGGAATTACAATTTTGGTTTGCAAAGTACAAAGAAAGCCACTGTCATGCCGAGGCATTTCGTGTGTTTTATGACACTGAGTATAGGTATTGCAGTTGTAAGTATGACAGTGCCAGGGTGACTTGAAGTGCTGGTACTATGACTGTAAGTACAACAGTGCCAGGATAACTTGTAGTGGTGGCACTACAAATGTAAACCTTTGGTGCCAGGATGACCTATAATAATGCCACTACAAGTGCTAGCCTTAAGTGCCAAGATGACCTTCAGTATTGGCACAACACATGTAAGCCTCTTGTGCCAAGATGACCTGCAGTACTGGCAAGTAGAATATCCTCTCGAGTCTCGATGATCTGCAGCAGAAGCACAAAATAAGTAGTGCCAGCCCCTGGTGCCAGGATGACCTTCAGTATTAGCACAATGTTAGTGCCAGCCTCTTGTGCCAGGATGACCTACAAAAGAAATAAAATTTACTGTATGAAATATTTCAATCTTTTATATTTTGGGAAATTATTTAAGTCATAATTTAAGCGATAAACCCAACAGGGTCATACATTACTGAAGGGAGGAATGAGCAGAAGCAGGAACATGTGAAGAGTAGGAAGAGCAGGAATGTGCAAGGGTAGGGGTTAGTGGAGGTAAGAGAGTACAGGAGTAAAATTTAATAAAAGCTGCTGCAATAGTTTCTATTAACCCTTTCACTGTTGGTGCCGTATAGATACGTCTTACGAGCCAGTGTTGGTGATGTATTAATACGCCACAATTCTAGTGGCTTCAAATCTAACGGGAGAGAGCTGGGAGGCCTACATGTGAGAAAATGGGTCTGTGTCATTAGTGTGTGCAGTATAAAAAATATCAGGGATGCCGCAGTACATTGTGGGAGTGCTAATTCAGTATGTCTTCATCACCAAGCCTAGCAATAAGGAATACCTCACTCTCCGGTGAACTGGAACTCTTCCCTTCCCAAGTGATAGTTCTAACATAGATTGAAGTGTCAGTGAAGATGAATCTTATGACTTTGAAGAGTGGCTTTTTTCCATGTGAGTGGTGGGGAAGATGGCATGGGTGGTGAGGAAGGCAGTGTGGGTGGTGGGGAAGGCAGCGTGGGTGGTGGGGAAGGCAGCGTGGGTAGTGGGGAAGGCTGCATCGGTGGTGGGAAGGCAGTGTGGGTTTGTGTAAACAACATAGCAGCATATGTGTATATTACCTAGGGTAACCCAGAAAAGTCAGACAAAGTGACTAATTTCCATGTGGGTGGTGGGGAAAGCAGTGTGGGTAGTGAGGAAGGCAGTGTGGGTGGTGGGGAAGGTTGCATCGGTGGTGGGGAAGGCAGCATGGGTTTGTGTAAACATGTTTTGTCAACAATATAATGATAACAACATTTGTGCGGTTACTGTGCTGCATACAATGACTGGATATATATACTTTATGCATTATATTGGTCCCACAGGCCACAAAAGTTACTTGAAAAATTAAAATATTAAAAAATAAAAGAAAAAATACAATAAAAGTAAAAATATTACCAAGTGAGCAGCAGTCGCGGATGTTGCCGTAAGTGGTTCACCTTCTGTCAACTTTACGCCTTTATATCTCAGTAAGTGATGATTGCAAAAATGTTATTTTTTGTTTTAAAACACTTATAAAAATATTCTTAAGATTTGCTCAGAAAAAATAATTCTTTTATTTTTTTTTTTGAATATTTTTCGACAGAGTTCAGGATCAGGGGTCTCGACAGTCAAAGGGTTAAAAAGTCAAGGAGTCTTGTCAAAGGTGGAGCCTTCAGACAAGGAGGTCAGAGAGAGTAAACTGGATAGTGGAGACGGAAGTGAATCCTGCAAGCTCACTGATAGACAGGACACTATTAACCCCTTAACTGTCCAAATGTAGATCTACATTCTCTTGCCCAGCGCTCTGAATACATTTTAATTTTTTTTTTTAAATTAAAGATAACAATTTTCTGTGTGTAATAAGATAAAAAAAAAATTAGGGTCAGTACTTACTGAGATATAAAGCCGCAAAGTTGGCGCTGGATGCTCACCTGACAGCAACATGGGGAGATGCTGTTTGCAGAAATGTTGCCGATGTTCCTTATTTTCTCATTTTATGTTCTGATACTTTCAATTTGTTGTAGTTCTTGTGATTTCATAGCCAATGTTTGTTCTGACACTAATATTAGGCATGAAATAGTACTCAAATAGTCACAAACACACTGACAGAACATTTTCACCTGCCTTGGTCCACCTACTATTGTCTGGAAATATATACAAAGTATTTATAGGTCCAAGCAATGTTTTAGACATGCTTGGTATACTCCACTGCTGACAGTGCAGCAGAGAGGTGACATTTGATGATGCTGCACTGCCTTTGCTTTATTTGTTTTCACTGTTACACATTAAACGTCTGTCTATCTGTTTGTCTGTCTGTCTATCTGTCTCTGTCTATCTGACTTATCTCTATTCATCTGTCTTCCTGTCTCTCTTTCTGTCTCGGAGAGGGGCCGTCCAAAGCTGAGGGACTGATA